GGCAACTACGCGGAGCGCGTGGGCGCCGGCGCCCCGGTGTACCTGGCGGCCGTGCTGGAGTACCTGACGGCCGAGATCCTGGAGCTGGCGGGCAACGCGGCCCGCGACAACAAGAAGACGCGCATCATCCCCCGCCACCTGCAGCTCGCCATCCGCAACGACGAGGAGCTCAACAAGCTGCTGGGCAAGGTGACCATCGCGCAGGGCGGCGTGCTGCCCAACATCCAGGCCGTGCTGCTGCCCAAGAAGACCGACAGCCACAAGGCGAAAAGCAAGTGAAACAATTCCGAGGGGCGTCCCCGCCTCAAAAAGTAACCCAAAGGCTCTTTTCAGAGCCACCCACTTCTTCATAAAAGGAGCTGTACATCCTAGAGAAAAAACAAAACCTATCGTTTCCTAAAAAGCTAAAATAGAAACCAAAACGAACAACTTCCCCACCCCAAATCTTTTACCTTAGCTGATGAAAAAAATCAACCAAACCACCCCAGACGCTTTGTGTTTTATCTCTTAAATTAAAATTTTGAAAAACCCACTGTGTATAGCAAGACATGGATGACATACACCTATTAAAATAAACACGATTCATTTAATGTGATATAAATCACTTTGTGCTAGTGGGGGCAAGAAAGAAAGTTTGATAAGACTGTAGGAAAGAGCTCCCAGGCCCATCATGCCTCCCCTTTTTCAGCTCGGCCCTGTGTGAAGTTCAGGTAATTCCCTGATGTCTTTAAAAAGCCCTGCCCCCTCTAAACAACTACCAGACCTACAGATATTGTTGGAGGTGTTCTGTTTTGTTTTTTTTTGTTTTGTTGGTTTAGCTTTTTTTGTTGTTGTATGCATTAAAATGCAGTCTGGTTACTAACTCTTATTAAAAATCTTGGAGCTGCTGAACTAATTTTCTGCCTCAAATCTGAAGGAGTTTGGGAATAATTGTTCATCAGAATGCACAGGAAATCTGAGGTGAAAAGGACTGTTGCCAGTTTTGTGTCTGTCTCACACATGCTAAGAATAAACCATAGATATGTTGAAACCTGCTATTATTGGTAAAAAACCTGTTATTATTGGTAAAAAAAACCCCATATTTTAACAATTTGCAAACATAAATAACTTGAGTCATAACATTGTCCAGAATTTTACTATCACCAGCAGTTACAACAGCAAGAGGTAAAAAGGTGTTTACAGGCCTTTTTCAAAATAGTGAGTTGTAGGCATTAATGAACATATCAGAGAATACTTCCTTTAATTCTTTATACTCTGAAAAACAATCTGCATTTATTTTTAATTGAAACTTGGTCTTGGAAAAACGCATCTGAAGACTGTCCCCCTCTCGCTTAGCAGCCAGTTGTTTCAGTGTAGCAGATACACCAAGACATACCATTTTTAGTATTAATTCCAATGTAGGGATCAGTCTTACTGTGGCTGGACAGTAAGAAAATTGAATATTTAGGAAAGTGCTGCGAAAGAGGAAACCTAAATGATCACTTGAGCAGGTTTTATTATGTTCAGGTAGTGGGAAAATCAGCTGCAGCAGCGTTTCCTTAGACAATGATGACTCAGATTTTTGTCAATCCGGCTGTATCAAAATAAAAACACTGACATATTATCAAACGATAGGACATTGGTTATCATTATTAACAAAAAGTGGCCGTGTTAAGTTTTTATGTCACCTTATTTATTAAGGAAGTATTTCTGTAGCTGAGGACGAGGGAACCATGTCTGCTTTGTGTACACTGAGCAAAGCAGCACAAACTGCTAAGGCTGTAAAAAGTCACCTCCTTTGCTGGGACAAAAAGCCCTTCACAGGACTTTAACCTGCTCCTCGCCTTGCCAGATAACGCACTAATTTAATTTATCTCAATTATTTTGAAAGAGGTAAAGGATTTTGGACAAAGGAGCTAATTTCCAATCCATACGCAGTGCTCGAGATGAGCCTGTGTTACTTCCTCCTCTTTGAAATCAAATTGCGACCAAAATATCGATTGAAATCCACGAATTTCAGCTCAGATTAAGAGAAGACCCTTTAAAGAATATTAATTAATTACTTTGGAAATCTAGTTCCCCACGTCGCGGTTTTTATTTAGAAGGAAAAACAAAAGTTTCTGTCTCCCGAGGTCCGTTCAGGTCCAGGACTCGGTGTTTATCGCCTCTTTTTTAGCTCACCCGTTGCCTCTTCGAAAGGAAACTTGGCCGAGGGGAACAAGAGTCTTTCTTTTCCACGCCGCTGCGAACCGGGGGGGGGTCGGTGGCGGAAATTCTGATAAAAACAGCCCTTTTCGGCTCCTAAGAAACACAAAATGAGCGGCGAGAAGGGAGCTCGCTGCCGTGCAGCGGGGCGGGCTCTGCAGCGCACCAATCACCGCGCGGCTCCGCTCTATAAATACGAGGCCCCGAGCTGCTCCAGGCCCAGAGATTTCCCTGCAGCGAGGACGAAGGCCGGCACAATGTCCGAGACCGCGCCTGTTGCCGCTCCCGCAGTCTCTGCTCCCGCCGCCAAGGCCGCCGCCAAGAAGCCGAAGAAGGCGGCGAGCGGCTCCAAAGGCCGCAAGCCCGCGGGGCCCAGCGTCACCGAGCTCATCACCAAGGCCGTGTCCGCCTCCAAGGAGCGCAAGGGGCTCTCCCTCGCCGCGCTCAAGAAGGCGCTGGCCGCCGGCGGCTACGATGTGGAGAAGAACAACAGCCGCATCAAGCTGGGGCTCAAGAGCCTCGTCAGCAAGGGCACCCTGGTGCAGACCAAGGGCACCGGCGCCTCCGGCTCTTTCAAGCTGAACAAGAAGCCGGGCGAGACAAAAGAAAAGGCAACGAAGAAAAAGCCGGCGGCCAAGCCCAAGAAGCCGGCGGCTAAGAAGCCCGCCAGCGCTGCCAAGAAGCCCAAGAAGGCGGCGGCGGTGAAGAAGAGCCCCAAGAAGGCGAAGAAGCCGGCGGCTGCAGCTGCCAAGAAAGCGGCCAAGAGCCCCAAGAAAGCCGCAAAGGCAGGCCGCCCCAAGAAGGCAGCGAAGAGCCCGGCTAAGGCGAAGGCGGTGAAGCCCAAAGCGGCCAAGCCCAAGGCGGCCAAACCCAAAGCGGCCAAGGCAAAGAAGGCGGCGCCCAAAAAGAAGTAAAGATGACCGAGAGAATTTGAGAGTCTACTCATTTAAATAAACCCAAAGGCTCTTTTAAGAGCCACCCACTTGCTCTCAAAAAGAGCTGAAACACTACGGTTATACATCAGCCCAAATCACTTCAGCGATTTCGGTAGGGGAGTTTACCCGGCATTAATAAAGTTCAGATTTTTGGGTCCGCGTGCGTTCGGTAGCGCCCGCGTGGGAGGAGATCGGGGCTTCCTTTAAAAGGAACCTTGTCCCTACGTGCAGTTTGGGATCCCTGCGATAGCAGCTGCGCCCGCCCCGCCCCTGCGCACGGAGCCGAGCGAGAAGAGGCGGCG